TGATAATCAGAAGATGATAAACTGAGAAAAAAATTGATATTGTCAATTATTTAATCTTGGTTAGATCCATAATCAACACTCTTGGTACTGGCTGTCAAGAAATCAAAAGGTGTATTTGCATTGTGAAAGTCTGCTGTCAAGGACCTCTCCAAAGTTATAAGGAGCAATGATGTCCATTTAAAGATTAATGTATACAAACGTTGTAAGTAAACTAGGATACAATAAAAAAATTTATTTAAAAAATATTTAAGGTGCATCTGATTCAAGCCACAGTCCTTTTAATCACTTGCTATGCCTCTATGAGGTGGATTGTTTCAGTGACTGGGGTAATCAGGATGGGAGTGTCAGAGACAGTGCGATTGGCACAGGACAGAGCAGAGTTTAGGGCTGTTATACATAGGGTCGCTATGAGTTGCAAGCGACTTGACAGCACATAACAACAACAATGATGCAACTGAGAGAGACAATGAATAAGGATTCAGGCAGAGAAACAATTAATGGCTTTGTATTGTGATGTTGAAGAAGAGTACTGAATATCCTCCAGACTGCTAAAAGAACAAATAAGTATGTCTTTGAGAAAATATGACGATGGTGCTCCTTAGAGGTGAAACTTCATCTTACTTACTTTAGGCATGTTGATAGGGAAGGACATTTCTTTGAAAAAGACATTATACTTCATGCTCCAAAAGGTGGAAGGTCATTCCCAAATATTTTTTCTCACTCTGTGGCTTTCCTTTTTACCCTGTTGAAGGAGACTTTTGATGCGCATAGGGATTTGATTCTTAGAAGGTTCCACTCATTTATTTTAAGATGATTGGAAGACTGTTTATGTTGTGGAATAGGGCTTCTAGAGTTCTTCCAAGCTTTTCTCTGATAAAGTGTATAGTCCTTGGTTTTAGTCCTAGATCTTGATCCACTTTGAGTTGGTTTTTGCGTATGGTGTGAGGTGTAGGTCTTGCTTGAGTTTTCTGCAGATAGTTTTCCAATTTTGCCAACACCATTTGTTAGAAAGGCTTTTGTTTCCCCCTTAACTGATTTCATCTCCTTGTCAAAAATCAGTTGATCATAGGTGATTGTTGTTGTTAAGTGCTGTTGAGTTGCAGGTGACTCATGGGGACCCTATGAAGGAGAGTCCTCAACACTTGGGTGTCTTTCATTCTCTCTCCATGTTCATAGGGTTTCTGGAGGTAAGCTGTTATGGAAGTGGATGCCACTCCTCCTTCCAAGCTTGTTTTAATCAGGGTGCTCCACCCCACCCTCTGTCCGCACTGGGTAGCCAACTATTAACGCATTTGACACATCAGTGTCACAGTGTTCAGCTTCACAGCAACTGCAAGTTACTGCTGTACATCAACTTGTACACCAGGGCTATATGACCTAGAGGAATTGAGCTGATTTATAGGTTCTCAATTATATCTAGAATTTATAGAATACTTGGGTCTCACAACAAGATAAACAACCCAATTGCAAAATGGGTACAAGATATGAACAGACACTTCACCAAAGAAGACATTCAGATGGTGAGCAAACAAATGAAGAAATGCTCAAAATCCCTAGCTCTAAGAAAAATGCAAATCAAAACTAAGATATCATCTCACTTCTGTAACAATGGAAAATTCAACAGAGCAGCAAACAACAAATGCTGGTGAGGTTGTGGAGAAACTGGAACTCTTACTCACTGTTGGTGGGAGTGTAAAATGGAGCAACCACTGTGGTAAGCAATATGGCCTTTATTCAAAAAGTTGGAGATAGCAATACCATTGGACTCAGCAATTCCACTACTGGGAATATACACTAAAGAAATCAGAATTGACACCCAAACAGATATAAGCACACCTATGTTTATTGCTACGTTGTTAAAAATAGCAAAGAGATGGAAGCAACCCAAGTGCCCATCAACAAATGAATGAATAGAGAAGCTGTGGTATATTCATACAATGGAATACTATGCAGCACTGAAAAAACAAGGAACTCATAAAATATTATACAAAATGGGTGACCCTGGAGGACATTATGCTGAGTGAAATATCTTAATCACAAAAGGACAAATACTGCATAATGCCACTGTTATAAAACAGGACTGACATGAGGGTTGGGGGAAACTAAGAAAGCGGGATAAATAGTGTACACTGCATTGAAACAGATGAGGAAAAGAACTGTTTAAAAGGAATATTTGATTAAGTATTATTTGAATATGAACAGTTCAGAATAAGAGCTGCACAGCAAGGTGGATTGGGGGCAGGGTGGGGATGAAATTATGCAAAAAATGAAATAAATTTTGTTTTTCAATGAGAAAAGCAAATTGGGGGTAGATAGATAGAGAGGAAAATGTGCAACAACGAATGAATGGAAATCCAAGTTCTGTATAAACTTTCATTAAAATATCAAAAGAAAAGACATGTAAAAAAATGTGGAGAGTCAGCAAAAGCGACAGAGACTCTCAGTCAGATAAATTGACACAGTGACTTTGACAATGAGCCTGAGGATAACAGAGATGATGAGGATGGCACAGCATAAGGCCAAGTTCAGAGGGTCACTAGGAGCCATACTCAAGTTGACGGCTCTTAACAACAACAATCAAAATATTGGAGGCTTGGATACACCTAGCAGTGTCTTAAAAGAAAAAGGAAGTGGTCTATGTTCCCCTAAAAAACCCCCAAAATCAACCTCTGATAACCTGTGGAAAACTGATCTACTCTGGGCCAAATAGTTTACCAAGAATTTTAATGAACTTTATAGCAACTGGTTACATATCTCCCTTATTACAAAATGTGATGCACAAAACATACACATCAGAATGCATAATTAGTCTAAAATGCAATTTATCATGGCAAAATAGATTCTATTTCATCATCTTAGAGTTAAAAGTATGTGCTCTTTATCCCTTTTTACTCTAAAATGACTTAACCTTAATCATGCTTTGAGATTTTCTGCTTCTTTGCTACTGTCGATTCAGTCAGAAATAGCAGTGTTCCCCTGCCTTCCTCCATCTTTTTCTTATGTTCTACCTATCCTGAAGTCTTCTTGAAAGTCTTTCATGAAGTGAGATGAGACCCAAGCCATCCAGGACCTTGATGCTTTGGTTCTTTTTTGGCCTTTATGGTACCCATCACTAGCTGTGGCTGCAGGGTGATCCCTAAAGGTATCACCAGTTTCTCAGATCAGTAAGATTGGTCTATTTTTTTTTTAAGTGGTTTTGAATTTTGCTGTACATTTCCCACCATCTCTGTCCAGGACCTTCCACCATGACCCTGATCAGAAACATGGCTGGGCATCATCTAGTTCTTCTGGTCTCAGGGTCTGTGGCTTTTTGGTCTGTTACTCCTTTGCACCAATTGTTCCCTTGGATCTTTGATTTTCTTCATGATCTTTGCTTTGGGTGCAAGGAGACCAACAGGTATATTTTAAATGGCTACTCTCACACTTTTAGGGGAGCTTTGGTGGCCTAGTGGTGAAAAGCTATGCTGCAATTCCAAAGGCACATGGTTCAAATCCACCAGCTCTTCTGCAGGAGACGTATGGGGAATCTCCTACTGTACAATTAACTGCCTCTAAAAACCTACTGAAGGGTCAGTGATGAGTTCGTTCCAACTTGATGGCACCCAACTACAATAACAACATCACTAGTTGTCCGTCACTATACCAAATTATTATTGTGAGATTGTTAAAAATATTTTTGTGCTATAATTTAACTTGTATGTCTATCCCTAGCAACTTGACTATAAACTCTTTGAAGGTAAATATCACATATTTGTATGCTCCAAACCATTTACTCCTATGGTTTATACTTCAAAAGTATTTGTATCTTGAGTGTCTGATGTGAGAAATATGTCTTCTTCCCATCCACAATAGCAAGGTGCAGATCAGAGGCAGGAAATCACACGACGGAGATTGCCCGTCCTTCTCCTAAGGAGCAGCTGATAGATCCAAACCACGTGCCTTTGGGCCAGACCACCAGGGCTCCCAGCTGGCTGCCAAGGAGAGCCAATACTCCCTATTCTTTTCTCCTAGTTTCTAAGCTGCAATCAGGTTTACATGCATTTTCTGTTGAAAGGCAGAGATCAAAATGAATTCTCTACAGAGAGCCACACAAGCTGATTACATCAGCTTTTACCTATTTTATTGGTAGCTAAATTGGACTATAATTTACATACTACACAATTCGCTCAGTTAAAGCACACAATCCAAGGATTTTCAATATATTCAGAGTTGTTAAACTACCACTGCAGTCAATTTTTGAACAAGTTCCTCATATCCAAAACCCTTGTACCCTCAGCAGTTAACTCGAGTTTTTCTTTATCTCCCTTCTTCACCTAATAAGATTTAGAGAGTTGGGGGAATCCCAAGTTCATTACCCAGTTCCTCCTTTGTCTTTCCCTTCCTACAGAAGGCTTGTATGGGTTTCACCTCAGTGACCAACAAATCCTTCTTCTCTCGGCCCTTTTTGCCCAGCTGCTCTTAAAATAAACGAACACTTTCAAATCAGCTCTGTGCGTGGCCTTTTCTTTCCATATCAGAGAGAAGCACTCAAAGCATTTCTGTGTTTTAAATATTTGTACTCTTAATATGACACGCACACACAACTAGCAAAGAGGGTGAATTACAGAGAGTTCAAATTCTTAAAAAGTACTTGTCAGCGTCTTCTCCTGACCTCTAACCACCTTCCTCCAACCAACGCTTTCCTTTAAGTGCAAATGAATCAGCTTCGCTTTCAGAGAAGTAACCGGTTTTCTTTTTCTCCAACTCTTTGAAAGTTCCCATGGGAGTTTCAAATCATCCCTCCTTGCCACCACCTTTTTATTCCTAGGTTAGACTATCAAGCCCTCTACCCTTCTGGAGAAAGGCATTACCTCACCTGCCATTCAAGTGCTAGGAGGATCTTCTTACACCTGGAAGAAGCTCTACACAGGTGTCTCTAACCCAAGGTCCACCCACCTGGCCAAGCCCTCCACTTTATGAAAAGTCAATTTAGGTCATTGCCTAATAGAACCCAGGCTTGAATGACCAGGGGTTCACAATTAAGGAGTGAGGGGTGGGAGGAGTTCGAGTATGACAACAACGAGAGTGGAAGGTAAGCTTTTTGAAATTCTGAATATACTTGTAACTTTTCTCTATTGTAATTGTATATATGGAATAGTTTTGAATATTATTTGTACAGTACCTAGTTTTCTAGTGGTAAGGAGCTGCCCTGCCAACCTGAAGGTATATGGTTTGAATCCACCAGCTGCTCCAAAGGAGAAAGATAGGCAGTCTCCTCTCATGTGATTTACTGCCTCTGAAAACCTGCTGGAGGGGCAGCTAGGCATCAGCTCCAACTCAGTGGTTCACAGCAGCAGCATAGTGCCTTAATGATGATGAAATTAGCTGACAATGACACTGACAGTGCAGCACATCTCTGGGGGGCCATGGGATTGCTGTCATTGTTGGGCGCCATCAAGCTGACTACAACTCACAGTGACACTATGAACCTTGTCCTGGCCTGTGCCATCTTCAGAACTTCTGATATGCTGGGAAGCAGAATTTTTAGACTCACCTGGAGATTTCATGAGGATTAAAAGTAGATGGTTAGATATTAGTTGAGGGATATTGTGGGTCTTTAGACAAAGTTTTGGTATAACTCAGTTGTTCCAGATTTCCAAAGGGGCTTCACATAACATAAGCTACTGTTTTCCAACCCAGAAAAATGTCAGCTGCAAATGCAAAAAGTTTCTAAACTAGATTAAAATTCTTTGTGGGAGAAAAAAAAATATAAGCTACAAATTGAAAACAGTATATGTGACACATTTTACCTTGAACTATACTCTGAACAATAATAAACTAATACTTATAACACTTTTTGAATTATTTGGATGAAAAACTTTGTCAGTTAGTACACAACACACACACACACACACACACACACACTATTATAAGGAAAGATTTATGATCAATGAGAGACTCGTGAAAGATTACTACAGAAAACATAAATCACTAGAGGTCCATATAATAGTTTTCCCTAAGGAGCATCTAAAGAATTCTAAATTCAAATTTACCATTAATTCTTCAAGAAGTAGTTGAGTTATACCATATGATAGCATTACAGAAATGGAATCTCAGTAACAGTAACATGGTCAAGTCTTTGAAACATTATTGCCAGTATTATGTTACTCTACTGAGCTATTTCTTGCTCTTAAATTCAGTAGTCCCCACCATGTAAAGAATCTGACCTCAAACAGATTTCCTAAATAATCTCTTCTAATAAACACAATTCTTTGAAATGCAAAAAAAGAAGTCTTGATCTTTTTCTGGTTCATAAGCATGACGATTGGGAGTTCATACTTCTGTATGACATATGCCACCCGTTAAATCTTGTTACGACAAACGCACACTACCCATGACATGAAGAGAAAAAAAAAAAGAAGAAGAAGTCTCAGCTGGAGAACCCCAGAGGAAAAAGTGCTGGAAAGAACACAATACTTTAGGAAATAGTCTGAAGCCCTGGTGGCACAGTGTTAAGGAATCTGGCTATTAACCAAAAAAGCTGTCAGTTAAAACTCACCGTCTGCTCCTTAGGACAAAGCTGGGGCAGTCTACTTCCTTAAAGACTCACAGCCTTGGAAATGCCACCGGGCATTCTCCTCTGTGTCACACAGCTGCTATTAGTTGGAATTGGTGTCTGTGGATTTTGAGCCTTAAGAACTAGTGAAATTTTTTTGCCTTGGCTTCTAAAGTTTGTTTCTTTATGGACAGGATTAATGCACAAAGGCATAAATAATCATTTTTTCCAGGACCTGAGCTTAAATCTGTCATAAACAATGCAAAAAAAAAGTTTGTATCCAATCAACGAACCATCTAGGCAGCCATTGCTGATCCATACGTTCCATTGTTAGGAAAGATCAAGTTACTTTACAAGGAAGAAATGGGTTGCCATTGGGTTGATGCCAGCTAATGGCATGAGAATGAACCATTGCCTGATTTCATCCCTATCATGATCTCTGAGGAGTTCGAGCCCACTGCTGTGGTTATTGCGTCAGTTCACCTCACTGAAGGTTTTTTCTTAATTTTGGTGATCTTTTACCAAGCATATTTACCAAAGAACAACAAAAATAGCTCTTTAAAAATGAAGAATAAAGTGTTTGTTCTTATGAACCCAAGTTAGTTCGCTCAGCTTAATGCTCTCTTGCCTCTTATTCTTAATATATTAAGAATAGAGAATATCATGGACTGTCAAGAAACTAACATGTCTGACCTGGAGGAGGTGAAACCAAGCTGCTCCTTGGAGGTAAGGATTTTGAGACTTTGTCTCACATACTTTGGGCATGTAGCCAGGAGGGATCATTCTTTGGAGAAGGACATCATGCTTGGAAGAATCGAGGAACAGCACAGAGGACTCCTGATAAGATGGATTGACACAATAACTGGGGTAATGGAGGTTAGTGTGTCAGAGACAGTGCGATTGGCTCAGGATAATTCAGGGTTCACAGCTGTTATGCATAGGGCAACTATGAGTAGCAGTTGACTTGACAGTGGCACATAACAACAACAACAACAACAACAACAAACATTTTAAATATGATACCATTTAAATATCTCCAATACATGATTTTTCCAAAGCAGAGAAACTAACAATTCACACCTATTACCCAGTGCCACAGAGCCAATCTTATGGTGACACCATAGAGCAGAGCAGGGGGCATACCCACCTCGTTCTCAAGGCTGTAACCCCTGTGGAAGCCAACTGCCACATCTTTCTCCTGGAGTTTGACTGATGGGTTTGAACTATTAGCAGCCCCATCTTTTCTATGGGCTATTTTTTGAAACATTTGTGCCTTGTTGTTGTTTACCATTGTGTCAGAACTGACCCTTCAGTGGGTTTTCAGAGGCAGTTAATCGCATGAGAGGAGACTGCCCATCCTTCTGCCATGGAGCCACTGGTGGCCTTGAACTGCATGCCTTTGGGATTGCAGCACAGCTTCTTGCCACTAGGCTACTAGAGCTCCCTTAGTATCCTTAATAACATTAGTTACCTTATAGGATTGTTAGAAGATGAAATGGGTGTGGTATAGTGGGGTTATTATTCAGATTAGATTTCCTAGGCCATTGCTTTTATTTCATCACGATACTGGGCAGGAACATGCAAATAGGGTGTGTAGGCTACTAATGAGAGGATTGGACTAATGAGTCTTGCTATTTGCCAGATTTACAGTGAGCAGGACCAGCAGTAGAAAAGTCTCAATACCAGCAAGGAAGGAGAGTCAGAGAGTCCAGTCTGTGTTCACTTGGGCCAGAGATTCTTGTGCCAATTAGATCAGGACCCAGATGGTGAAAGCAGCAACATCGAGAAACCAAAGTATGATCAAACTGACTTGGGGACTGTCACCCTGCAGAGACAGAGACAGGAGCTGTCACTCAAGCTTTCTGGAGGACTTGGGAGGAAAGAACCTTAATTGTTTAGGTACCACCAGCAGGAAAATCAAGACAAATCGCATTGGGAAAATCAGTCAGGGACTTCTCTAGAGGACTGAAGAACAATGATGTTAGTCTAGCGACTAAAGTGTGCCTGATTCAGGTCATGGTCTTTGCAATTACTTGCTATGCATCAGATAGCTGAACAGTGACTCGGGCTGACTGATGCTTTTGAGTTGTGCTGGCAAACAGTATTGAATGGACCATGGACCGCTAAGAGAACAAATGGATTCATCCTAGAGAGGGTGAAACCAGGCTGCTCCTTAGAAGTAAGGATTTTGAAGCTCCGTCTGACACATACTTCGGATATGATGCAAGGAGGGACCAGTCCTTGGAGAGAGACATTATGCTTGGTAGGGTGGAGAGACAGCGCAAGAGAGAAAGACCCTGAAGGAGATAGATTGACTCAGTGACTGGGGTATTGGGATGAAGTAGGTCAGAAACTATGAAATTGGCTCAGGGTAGAGCGGGATTCGGAGCTGTCGTACACAGGGTCACTATGAGTCGGAGTTGGCTCTATGGCACATAACAACAGCAAGACAGCTTTGCAAATCCAGCTTAAACCCTCAATGCTAAAGGTCAAAGGGTTTGTGAGCACACTTGAAGTTGTCCTGAGTGAAGTACGATATTCCATTTCCAACCTGAATTGTAACCTGTTAATTACCATACTGAAGCCCATAATTGTCGGATCTGTAAGGTTTGTGTGGGCATTGCAATGCCAGTAGCAGAGAAGAGAAAGTTCTAGGAGGGATGGCTGGTAAAAGCAGAAATGGGCCGGGGAGTGTGGTAGTATGTCTATCTTCACTGGAATCAGTTTTGTGTTGTGGTTGTTGCTGATGTGGCTTGTTCTCCCTTGTGGAGTCTTTGTGGAGGTCAGATTTGGCTGTCTTTCTGCTGATAGCACTGTGTTTACAGTGGGATAACGCAAGGATTGGAGAAAGACTCATCAACAACGTAAGTTATGCAGATGATACAACCTTGCTTGCTGAAACTGATGAGGACTTGAGGCGCTTGCTGTCAAGGACTGTAGTCTTCAATATGGATTGAAATTCAACATCAAGGCAAAGATTCTCACCAATGGGCCAACTGACAGCACCATGGTGGTTGGAGAGGAGATCAAGTTTTTAACAGTTAAAACTCACTCGGCTCCACAATCAACACTCTTGGCACCAGCAGTCAGGAAATCAAAAGACAAATAGCAGTAGGTAAACCTGCTGTCAGGGACCTTTACAGAGTACTGAAAAGCAACAGTGTCAGTCCAGAGACTAAGGTGTGCCTGATCCAGTCCATGGTCTTTGCAATTACTTGCTATGCAGCAGAGAACTGGATAATGACAAAGGATGATAGAAGAATTGATGCCTTTGACTTGTGGTGCTGGAGAAGAACCCTGAATCAAGTTTCTCCTTGGAGGGTAGGATCTTGAAGCTCCATCTCACATGCTTGTGGCATGTGGCCAGGAAGGACCAATCCTTGGGGAAGGACATCATGTATGAAAGGGTGGAGGAGTACCCCAGATGAGATGGATTGATACAGTGACTGGGGCAATGGAAGTAGGTGTGTCGGAGTGATACTTGCTCAGGACAGAGAAGGCTTCAGAGCTGCTGTACATAGGGTCGCTATGAGTTGCAGGTCACTCGAGGGCACATAACCACAACAGCTATGTGTTTGCAAATGCTCAATGCCTGTTGCCCACTACTATTATCAGGCCTGGCTTATGGTGGCTCTCCACCATGTTTCTGAGGCTATAAATATTTCTAGTCAGAGACTGCCTCATTTTGGGCTTTTTTTCCCCGTTAGTAACTTGCCACAGAAACGCACTCTGACCCAAGGGCTGCTCAGTGCATGATAGCTGTTGCAATTTTTATCGTTAGCAAATTCAAATTACTGACAAAGAATGATTGAGGTTTTGAAATTACAAACTTCTACTGAAATTATGGTATCCATATTTTGATATAGGGTGCTCTGGGGATTTAGCAGGAAGGAATTGCACTGCTAACACAAAAGCAAGAGATTCTAATTCACTAGCTCTTCCGCAGGAGAAAGACGGGCAATCTCTTCTCATGTGATTTTGCTTACAAAGTTTGTGTACATTGTTTTTCACACCGGATCTTTCCCATTTCGTTTACCCACCCCTCCCTCTACCCATCATGTGTGACCCTGTGATTTCCCCATGCCCATCCTCCTCCCTCTGCTCCTCCCCTCCCCCTCTTGGATCCTCATACTTGTTTTACTAGTTGTCTTTCTCTGAGAACCACCTACTTTGATATTGCCCTCCTACTTCCATTTTACTTGGTGCACATCAAATTCATATCCTGTGAGAATCTGTGTCATAAAATAAGCTTGTTATCTATTTTATTTTTAGGTTTACTTCCAAGTTTAGGTTCATTTGGAAGAGACTTCCAATTAAAATCTATCAAGGGCTGTTTAGTGAGGAGGGAAGAAACAGTATCTGTTGAAGAAATACATTGTCTCCTTCCTGTGACTGTGCAGTTACAGAGGGGCAGAACTCACTTTGAAAGACAGGCAGGAACAGTGCCATTAGACAAGTACCGGGGAGGCAGCGCATACCAGCATGACAAAAAGTCCTGAGAGTTCCCAGGGCTCTCCAGAAACAAGAGGCTTCGCAGGAACTCCCAAGTCCTGTGGAGCCAAACAGTCCTCTTTACATAACCAAATGACTGTGATTTTCCTGAAGTTACTCTCAAAATTTTGTAATAACGAATACACCAATTCACATGTCATGGTGATTGAATGTCTGTTTTGCTACCAAACTTACCATGTTTGGCCAGCCTTGCTGTCTTCACATTTTTCTTGGTGTTTATCCGTAAGCTTAGCAACCAACCAAACTTTGACTGGAACATTAATATTTAAGAGTGAACTTTACCGTTAGTTTACTAACTATTTCATGGATAGTACATTTTTGTACTTCTGGTTTTTTTAATGGTACTCTGAATATGCGAATTTCACTTGCCCACTAATTACAAGCTTTCAAATATTAGCAAAATTTGTGTCTTTTTCCAATATTGGCAAGAATGGTAGGAGGATTTGAAACATTTAATAAAATTAAGCCTACAGTCTTTGGTATGGATTACAACTTTCAAAGAAAGCAAAAACTTTCACAATTGGCCCAACAGGCTACAAGATCATGATAAATAAAGAAAACATTAAATGGAAAGGATTTCATTTTATTTAGATCCATCCACAAGCAACATCCATGCAAGTCAAAGCCAAGAAATAAAAAGACACATTGCATGGGGCAAAGCTGCTGCCACTGACCTCTTTAAAGCGCTAAAGAGGAAGAATGTAATGAACTCAGTCCCATAGGAGAAATATCGTAGAAGACTGTTACTGTAGAATGAGTACGAGGATCCAGGAGGGGTGGGAGAGGCTGGAAGCAGAGGGATGTGGATGTACAGGGGGAAGGAGGGATTAATCATAGGTTGTACAATTTGATGGGTGGGTGGGTGAGGGAAATGGAAAGAATTTGTTCAAACTTGTATTTGAATTTTGTATATAAACTAGTAGAAAAATAAAAAAGAAAACAAACCACAACAAAAACTAATGTTCACCTGACCCAACCCATGGTATTTTTTATAGCTTTCTATGCTATATATAAAAGACAACAAATAAGGAAGAGAGTTAAATTGTGGTGTTGGTGAATACTGAATATGTAATAGTAAAATAATAAATATGTCTTGGAAGCCACATAGCCTGCGTGCTCTTCAGAAGAAAGGATGGTGAGACTTTGTCTCACCCACTTTCATATGTTATCAGGAAGGACCAGTCCTTGGAAAAGAACATCATGCTTGGAAAAGTGGAGGGTCAGTGAAGGAGAGGAAGACCCACAGTCAGCTGGATTTACAGTGGCTGCCAACAATGGACTTAAACATAACAGAATGAGATAGGGCCAAGGACTGGGTAGGGTTTTACACAGGGTCAGAGCTGACTTAACTACTCTTAAAAAGAAGTTCTATGGATACACAAGTGCAAGAATATGAGGGTAATTGTATTAATGATCCAAAGAGTGGCACAGCGCATTTACTAATCTTACAGCAGTGATAATCTGAAGTCTCCCTCTGCTCACAGAAGTAAATATTTTTCACTTACCCAAAGAGCTATAAAACTCCTTTTCTATATGTCAAAATGTTTAGGATGCAAATTTACTGAAAGCAAGTGTGAAACAATGAGTTTTGTTTTTATGCTATTTAAAAATTATAACTAACTACAGGATTATAGCCGGGTTGTGTTCTCCCCAACCCTTTAACCATTGAAAAGACTTGCATGGATTTACCCCAGAACCATTAGTTTTTTTAAAAAAAATTTATTTCATTATTTTTTGTGTGTACCGTCAAATCGGATCTGACCTGTACAGGAGGAGATTGCCTCTTCTTCTCCAGCAAGAATTAGCTTCTAATGCTAATGCAAACAAATGAAGAACCTTCGGAAGTGGCAGGATCTTTAAAGATTATCCTTACACTCCTTTTCTGGGTACAAGGAATCTGTACAGGAAGCTCCGACGGCGGTGTTGTGTACCACTGAGTCAGAACACACCTATAGCTGACCTTCCAGCGGGCTTTCAAAGGCAATTATTTGCAAGGCAGGCACAGGTGGCCCATCTTTCTCCTACAGTAGCTGGTGGATTTGAACCACGTGCCTTTGGGATGGCGGTACTCCGCTTCACACTGAGCCCTGGTCTTGTGGCTGGAGTTGCACTGCCAATCCAAATACAAGCATTTCGAATCCACCAGTGGCTCTGCTGGAGAAAGACGAGCCATCTCCTTCCTAGAGATTTGCAGCCTCTGAAAACCAGCTGCATGGTCAGCTGTGTCAGTTCCACTCAAGGGCAATGAGAACAGTACGAGTTCTACCTGTAAGGCACCAGATCACACTGCTGTCTAGATGTCAGTGGATCTCCTTAGGGCCATTTCAAGTCCTTAGGAGGGAGCTCGGGCGGGGGGTAGGGGGTAGAAAGCTGCGCTGCAATCCAGAAAGCATGAGGTCAGAATCCACAAACTGCTCCCCAAGAAAAGGATGGGCAACAATTGCAGGGTCAACTAAGGGTCAGTTCCCACACAGCAGGGTACCCCTTAGACGGTCCCTCGCTGTCAGCTTGGCTTTCTCTCCCTCTGCTTCCCAGTGCCCGCGGGCTGCGTTGCAGGAAGGGGCGGCAGGGCCAGGCCCGCACGCACCGGGCACCGTGGCGCACG